TTTTCTTTAGGAAAGTTCATAACAGCAGGAGCGCTCAATTGTAATTTATTCCTGGGCGAGTTGTCCAGTAGTTTGTTATTTGTTTGTTCTTTTTTATTTAATGATTATATTAATTTACTGTAATAAAGATTGTACAGAATAAAGTAAAGTTAAAAACCCCGTTGTGCAACAGCGGTGCGGGGCGTTCTGATCCCTGTAAAGGGAAGTGATGATCCCCTAATGAAAAAAAAAAAAAAACTTTCTTCGAGTCGTCTGGAGATAAAGTTCGGCCTGGAGTGTGGCAGGACAGGAGCTGGTGGGTAGAGCTTCCGTGCTCTTCCTGGTATGTCTGTCCCGAGGATCGGGTGCGACACCTTTTCATACGCGTTACGCGTGAGAATTGATTCAGGGAACGCTGATTTAATGTGTTCTAAATTCGACTTGGGTCCTGATACGGGCTGATAAACTCGTCTGTTGACAGTTTCTCATCATTAATGATCGACTATCTTGCCACGTAAGTCCAAAAATCCTAGTGACTGATATTTCATTGGTTTTTATCTATCATAATATCGCGTGTGGATGAGAAAAAGGAAGTAGTGTGTTTTTCCACTTCGCTTAAAGTTTAACTAATTAACTAAATTACTTAATTACCCCTCTAGAATCTCACATTACTGTAATTTATTCTTTGGATTCAAATACCTCAATATTCCAAAGAATTTTGTATTTTAAATGTGTTCTTAACTGTTCTACACAAGAAAGAATAGATATTAATATTGCATCGTTTTAAAAACCTGTATACGGCTTGTAGAACAGGTTCGAAATGTTTGTTACGGTTAACAAATGATTCTCGGTAAAGTAAGGTGTTTTTGCATAGGTTAAGAAGCATCTAGCAGGATATTAATTAAGTATTTTATGTTATAATAAAGTGTATATATTTTTGCAACTGATTGTATAAACTATGTGGGAAATATGTTTTCGTAAATATCGCGTTTATAGAAAAGTTATTGAACTGCAATTTGAAAAAATGTAGACCTATAAATTTCGACTGTTACCTGACTGTCCTTCCTAAATGTCTAAAACGGAATTAGATGCATAAAACCCGAGAAAAAAGGTACAAAGGTCACGGGTAGGTAGCCCAGATTAAATATATTGGAACTTTCGATTTGGGACGAAAATCATGTTTATTTGATTTAAAGTTTTTCCTAAACAGAGTTAGATAACTGACACAACTCTCTTGCTAACAGGAAAAGTATGATGCACAGGGACAAGATTACCACTAAAAAATTAAGAACATTGTGTCAAAAAGTTTCAGCTTGGCAATGTGACAAAGTCACAATAAATAATCACTAGAAATAATCACTAGAAATCTATAGCGAACAAACAAACAATCATCCTCATCTATATATATGTTATGGACAAAGTGATTAATACGGGCATTATGAATAATGCCCGGGCATTATAAATAATGACCAACAAAATCGGGCATTGTAATAAATTTCAATAATTTATCAAATTGACCGGTCATTATGAATACTGCTACCACCTAGTCGGGCAAAGTGATAATAATACGTTGAGGAGTGATCATCCGACATACGTTAGCCAATCAGAACTTGCATCTTACTTGCTCATGTGTATTGCATTTAGTACCGAGTTTTAAATTTATGTGACTAGTAGTTAATTTTTCTTCTTTGACAAAAGTAACGATCATGGAGGAATCATTAAGTGTTATGAATAATCGCTTCAACAACCGATTAAACGAGTTAATAGCAGAAAAAAGTGACAACAATCAAATTTTTACAAAATCAGCATATTTGTCAATGATACAAAAAGTGAGAGTCAAAAATGAAAGTTACTTCTAAGTTACCGGAATAATATCAGCGTTTACGTAGATATGACGTTGTATCTATCGGAAATTTAGAAAAATTAATTATGCCTGTAAAAGAAGGCAATGCGATTAGATATTACGTTCACGCGGAAGAAATATTTCAGATATTGCAACGATGCCCATATTGCTATTAGACATGACGGTAGAAACCGCATGGAAAAAGAATTAAGTACGAAATATAAAAATATTACAAAAGAGATGATCATAATTTATTTGAACTTGTGTGAAATCTGTCAGAAAAAAATAATGTTCCTAAGAAAAATCTAAATCAGGATGTTATTAGTATTACAGAATTGGTGAATGAAGAAGAAGAAACAATCATCCAAACAATTGATCCAAAAATAGAAGAAAAAATAAGAAGTGTGTCTAAAACAAGGGTTTTGTTTAATCTTAAAATGCAAGCAGAAAAAATGATTAATACATCAAATTCCAAATACACAGCAGCTAATGTTGGTGATACAGTAAGGATTCGTGTATCTGATGTAGATCGAGCCCGCAGTGATGAAAAAAATATTTTAGGTGTCGTTGTTGCGGTTAAAGATAAAAACCTTTACAAACTGGTACCCAGTTTGTAAAGGTTTCTATCTTTAACCGCATATTATCTTTAACATGGCATATTAAATATATTATATTCCAGAAACCAATTTGCTGTTTGTAAAGAAAACTTCATTTCTGTTGGAGATGTACCGGGTGCAGAAATTTCGCTTAGAAAATGTGCAAGAATGTCATCGATTTCTGAAGGCCACAACTATAGTTGATGCTGATGAAAAATTGGTTGAAAATCTAATAGATGCAAATGCTACCAAAGAAAACAAATTATGTACAGTAATTCCAAATGTCATAAAAATCTTAATTGCTCAAATAAATAAACTAAAAAACATTTAATTTTTTATATAATTTATACCAAAAATTGTTAATAATACTTTTCGTTAATATTAGTTTAATTAATATAGTTCTTTGATATAATTTACAAAAAATAAATATTTCTAAATGAAATAAGTGGGGTTTTTTTTAATCAAGTTTAAAATTCTGTACTAAACGCTGTACGATACGCACACGCAACTCAGCGTGCCGATTGGCTAGCGTATGTCAGATGATCACTCCTCAACTTATTATTATCACTTTGCCCGACTAGGTGATAACAGTATTCATAATGACCGGTCAATTTGATAAATTAATCAATATTTATCACACTGCCCGCCCTATTTGGTCATTATTCATAATGCCCGGTCATTATGTATAAAGCCCGTTTAATTACTTTGTCCATAACATATATAATCGAGATGGGTTGATAATAATAGTAATAATAAGCGCAGATCCCAAACGGTTAGGAGTTGAAAGTTGAAATTTGATACACCGTTAGGGTACGTCACGAGAAAGTACACTAAGAAGGAATATTTCGAAATTCCCCCCACGGGTGAGAGGGAGAGGATTAAGTCTTACCCTGAAGAATTCTGCTTCTACTGTACTATTTTAGATGCGGTTTTTTGCGTGTTTGATTGCGTTCTCATAGAGTGCGTACACTAAGAAGGGATTTTTCGTAATTCCCCTCCGCGGGGAGAGGTTGTTAACACTTCAACCTTAACCTTCAAGCTAAACAACCTTCCATTGTTAACACTTCCTTCTACGGGGGAAGTGTTAACAATGGAAGTGTTAAGAGAAAGCGGCGTGCAAGATTAACAGGCGCAGATGCGTTTTTTTGCGTGAAATTGAACATTTTTTAGACACATCTAAAAGTTCTCTAATTAGTCTGAAAATAGGAGAACTAATTCTTGCATTCTGTGAAAACGGGTAAGATTGGCTATAATGTAATAACCTTAATCTTCGCTATCGTTACTTTTTGCCCGAGCAACGCCAAGCTTATTTGCTAGTTTATTTATTTAGATAGATTAGCGTTGAGCCAGGCGCGGCGTTGCTTGTTCAAAAAATAACAGCAATATTTAAGATTATTACGTTATTTCGTATCTCTAGTTTTTCTACTATATTATATTATAGTATTTGATTTATATTTACAAAGATTATCTTACATAAGAGTTTATCACCACAAATACTCAATCTAAGACAGTTTAAAAATTTTTTTTAAATTTTGTACAGTAGAGGAATAAAGAATTTGTAAAATGTGTTAGATTGGTCATTCGATGTAATGAACTCTTACGTAAGATAACCTTTATAGTTATGTAGACGATCTTACTCGTTTCCATCGGGTGCAACAATTAGGTTCTTCCGAGGCTAATTAGAAAATTTTTAGATGGATTTAAAAATGTGTTCGATTTCCCGTAAAAAATCCACATCTGAAATACTGTGGTATAAGGTATATACTGTGGTAATTCTTCAGGGTAATCCTTAAACAAAAATGTAAGACAATTCTGTCTCAAATATTTTTTCTAAAAAGGCATTTATTGAAAATAAAATAATTTTAAAGTTTATTTTTATTTTTTAACTTTTGCAATATTTTCCTATTAATTACATGTAGGCTCTCTAGTTATTGTTTTGCAATGCATTAAGCAAAACAAAATTATTACGCAAAAATTTATAAACAAACACATGTCTATTAAATTTTTGCATTAAAAACGTGACATAATGATGGAAAGTGTCCGAAAGAAAAGTGACGAATTTCGAAAATTATTAAAGAACAATACGTAGGGCTTTCAGTAATCGTCAGTAAAAACTTACTCATTGCAAAAACCGAGGATATTTCTATTGGTACAAGCAAATCTTATGAATGAAACTTTTCCTAACGAATGAACGGTCGGAACTGAATTAATACGATTTCAGAAGAACAGGTGGAAATCCTTTTTCAAAATTCTGTTTTTGGACTTTCAGTTGTGGAATGATGTAAATTTCCTAGATTGAAATAGTTCTTACAGATAGTAAAATATTAAATGGTCTCGTAATAAACTCAGTCGAAACTGTCACTGAAGTTACGTAACATTTGGAAAGAGATTGATTATCGAATGCACTTATCGAAATTTCTTAAATATGTTAAGTTTTTCTTAGTTTACTTATTAATTACGGAAAACAATCTGGCTGTATTCATTTATAAAATAATTACAAGTTTCTGTAACCGGTGAGCTTTTTTCGAATATCGAAAAAAACTGACGGTGACAGGAACACGGTTATTATCTAATATTGCATCTTAAAGATAAAATACCTTAACAATCGCTCCTACTGCTGATTTCAAATTAGTACTCAATTTGTAATGCCCGCTATTTATAGCTTGAATTAACTGGGGAAATGTTCTAGGTACGTCTTCTAAACCAGGAAATGTTAGAAATGACATCAAACATCCGCTATAGCTATATCCAAGAATAGATATAGCAAGAATCCACATGATTACGAGCAGTTTGCGACTCTGTCCAGTAGGTTGAAAAATACTATTTCCTAAATAAATAATATATTTAATTATTATTGACATATTCATTCACGTTTGAAATTGTTTACATGTTCTTTTTTGTACAGTTTTTATATAATAAAAATGAAAACATGCAATATACTAAGTAACGTTACTGTATACATAGTATACGAATCTGAATTCCCTAATAAAAAACTTCTCATTTTTCATAAGATTCATAAAATTAAATGAATAGTAAATTTTTGGGACGTTATATGAAAGTTAATAGAGTGGTTGGGGCCGACATTTCCATCACGAAAACGTATACGTCGGACGTTCAGCACCGTTTTCCTGTAAGCCTAGAAGTTTGAAAATGGCGTTTGCAACGTTAGTGGAATCATGCTCGACGTATCAAACGCCATTGTCAAACTTCTAGGCTTACAGGAAAACGGTGCTGAACGTCCGACGTACACGTTTTCGCGATGAAAACGTCGGCCACAACCTCTCTAATATGAAGTGTAAAAGAAATTCGTAACGGTTATATTTTAATAATAACCGCCCTCGAATAGTTTCCTCATGTACAATTGAAGGATTTCTGAAGCTTAGAAGTATAATTTCATATTATTTGTACTCGATCGCTTCTTGTTCTCTTTTTACATTGTTAGAAGTAGGCATAAAATTGCTTAGGAGAACTAATCGCACAGCAATTAGCTCCACAATGATGATCGATTATATAGGCTTTTATGACTATAGAGAAAATGCATTTCGGACTATCTGACATCATTCTCTTTAATTCAATACATATCCGATTAAAATATTAACAAGTTTTTGAATTACAATTAAAATATTTACAAGTACATTTGCATTAAAGTACAACGAAATAAATTTTACATGTATATTATACAAATGAGAATGTCAGGTGGATTGACAAATAATGTAATAAAAATTTAATACGATAAGAAATTTAAATAAACTAAATAACTTAAAAGTGTAAGTAACAAAGAAATAGGCCTATGTGTAAAGAGTAAAACTAAAACTGCGTATAAAATTTATCTAAAAAATAAAATTCTGTTAGTAATAACATATTACTAAAGCTATTAAGATACTAAAAGGGTAATAGGCCATTACAGGTGTCCTTCAGCACAGCTGATAGAATAAGATAGATGAACAGAATAGTGTGCTGATAAAGAAAATGCGATAAGTTTATATTTGCTATTTTTTTTTAAATTAAATTTTTACTTATATCCATTTCTTAATAAGTTTATTTATTAATGAAAGGACGTAAAATGAATGTTGGTCCGAAATGCGTTAAATAATGTATCTAATCAACCAAAATAAATACAACTAAACACTAAATCATAATTTTAAATTATTGAATTCTGATACAACTGCAGACGCAAAATTATGAATTTTCAAGAATTATTTAAAATAATTCTTTGTGCAAATTATTACTTTTTTAGAATTCCGTTTAGGTTTACCCACCTTCTCTACCTAGCACAATATCATTTATGAACAGCACCATTATATGTTTTTTCAAGCAATCAGATTTAATATGTTGATAGATAATCGTAGTAAGGTCATTGTTAACGGAATACACAAATGCTTTCTTTATCAGACATGATTTCAAAACATAAAGAGATTACAGTGTAAAATGATTATGGCGGATTAGATTAGGACCGACAAAAGGACTATTCAAAGGAAAGGAGTAAAACATTTAAACAAAAAAGGAATCATTCTTTCACAAGACTGTTAAGGTTAGAGAACAAAAAATATAGTAGAATTCATGAATATAGGATGAAATAACCGGTCTATCTAATTAAATAGGCGATTAGCTAAGCTCGTCAATTTTTTTCTGAGACGTCAATTTTGTAAAAAACGTCTAGGAAGAAACTATGACAGGAGACATAGACAAAGAGAAAGTATTCAGGTAAAGGTGGAATTCCTTCAATATGAATTTTTGTAAAATGTTTAATTACGGACCTCAGATTAAGATGACAGAAACTGACAGAGAAGACGTTTGTACCTCATATAACATACCAAAATCAAAGAATTTTTTATTGTACGTTTGCTTTGTTATATACGCAAGAAAATTTACAAATACTTTCAATGAGTTTAAAATTTCTTTCAGACAGAGATACGGCGATTTTGTAAATACGCTCAATTCAATTTAATTAAAGTCTTATTTTGTTAACATTTCTGTTTGTACAGTTTTTTTTTTTTTAGTGTTCTTGAAAATTTAATGAAACACAAAACAATTCGAAAATAATAAAAAGATCTTAATAAAAATAACTCACTGTTTTATGACAATATTATTTTGTAAAAGTAATTTATTAGTCCTATGTTGAATTTCTATAGATATATTGAGTTAATTTAATATGTATTTTAAGTTATTCCTATTAAATTGATTTACATGGTACAAAATAAAAAGATCAAACCTTTATTTGTAAATGATGAAAATATAGCCATCACGATGTTAGATAAAGAAGTCTTCCTATCGCAATAATATTTTGCACTCATATTAAAAATTAAATTGAAAACGATCACTCCAATAACAAAAGCGATAAACGTTGCAATCCAAACCTGTAAAAAAATAATAAAGAGTTTATATACACCATTATTTAACCGAAATAAGAAAAATAATATAAGAAAGGTGCCAAAAGCAACGATCGCTAATGTTTTACGTAAAATTGCGTATTTTGAAAGAGAAAATTAGTTTATTAAAAGTCTGTTAACATTTTTTTTCAATGAAGTTTCAATTTGCTTTGTTGTAATTTTTCCATTAATTTGACAAATTAAATTGTTTATCACTATGACTCGGGTCCGGTATTACGTAAGCAATGAAGTACGACTTTCTATCTACTACATTACTTAAAAAATGTGGTCAAATCAAACCACTTTTTACAAAATCAAAAACAAGTGTAGTTTCTAAATACCACTTTTGATAGCTGTTATTATGATCTATGTATGTATGTCTCTTTAATCCGACATTAAGTTCGGTAGACTATCATTACAGCTTTCAGGTTAGACACTTCTATTTAAACATATGCATTTCGGACTTATAAATGTTAAGTTCGTCTTCAGTACAATACTACAAATTAGTAAAAAACACAATTATTACGACAAAATTCCTCGCGTGTAGGTTATATACTCTTACCTTAAAAAGCATTTAAAATAGTTTGTCATGTTCTAATATTTCTATTTTCCTCGTAAGAATGACTAACCTGTTTTCTCGATCCATTTCTTTCCAATAGTGTCTAATCTGAAAGCTGTAATGATAGTCTACCGAACTTAATGTCGGATTAAAGAGATATACATACATAGATCGTAATAATAGCTACCAAAAGTGATATTTAGAAGAATATTGGAAACAAATGGATCGAGAAAACAGGTTAGCCATTCTTACGAAGAAAATAGAAATATTAGAACATGGCATAAACTATTTTAAGTGCTTTTTAAGAGAAGAGTATATGACCTACACGCGAGGAATTTTGTCGTACTAATTGTGTTTTTTAATAATTTGTAGTATTGCACTGAAGATGGACTTAACATTTATATAAGTCCGAAATGCATATGTGGAAACAATAAAAGAAGTGTCTAACGGGCCGTTCATAAATTACGTAAGGGCGATTTCGGCCATTCTATACCCCCACCCACCCCTGTGTAAGAAACCGTAATATTTTCTTTGATCCCCCTCCCCTTCCCTTCCCTATCTTACGTAATATTTTGGCATGATTTTATAAAAAGATTTTAACGAAAAAAATTTTTTATGAACCCTAAAAATCTTAGGTCCAAAATATATAATTATTAATTAGTTAATTAATATGTACTATTATTTATAAAAAGACTTTAGGTGATCAAATTTAAAAATATAAGAATTTAATAAATTCGAATGAAAAATTTATTTTAAGAACATTATTTTTTAATTATTAACAATATTACTATTATTATCATTAATCAACATCAAAATATTTATTTTTATATTAATTTTCACAAAAGACGCAAAAAACTTTGCGAGATCGACAAGCCAGTGCACGTGTAAACAGAAACGTCATACAAAATAAAACAAGAGAGAATACAGAAAAAACACATTCCGTTGCCATATTGATTACATCTTGTCTAAAGCCAAAAAAATAAACTACATGATGCTAAAATGTGCTAGGTGCACCCGGGGACTAAATAATAAAGCTTATAAAATTCTATATAATGGGGCAATACAACCAATGCTACTTTACGCGGCCTCTGCTGTAATCATGTAACTAGTAAAAACTCAGTAGCAAGTAAATTACTCTCTCTTCAAAGCCAGTTTGCCATCAGAATTTCAAAGTACTGCAGAACTGTTTTTACTAATGCCTCTCTGATAATAGTAGAGCTCCTTCCTTTGCCACTATGTACCGTAAAAAAGGTTCTAAACTACTACATCAGAACTACAAACGTCAAGGCTCAATAACGGTCTCTACTCCTATCTACGGCTGTTCATATGCTACAACGTTGCAATTACCGTACTATCTCTGATCATCATCCTGTAAACAAGGTTATTTGGTGTCATCTGCTTCCTCCATGGATAATCTTGCAGGCATCAATATCTACACAGATGGGTGCAAAAGCTCCCTTCTTGTCTGCTCAAGTATCTCTATCTTCCTCCAAACTTACATATTTTGCCAAAAATATGTTAGAATGTGCAGATACCTCCCATATACCTCCATCTATCAAGCTGAAGAAGATGCCAACTACCAAGCTGTTCAGTGGGCCACTTCACTACCAAACAAAACTCTATCAACATTTATAGTGATTCTGTCTGTCCTGAAAGTTCTATTAAATCCCAATTGCAATTGCAATAAAATCGCATATATCTAGCACAATATTAAAAATCTTGTAAATAAGATAATTTTTATATTTGTTCCTGGCCATACTGGCGTACTAGGAAATGAAAACTCCAACATTGAGGCTAAGTCAGCTGCAAAGGAAACTGACTCGGACTACACTCACATCCCTCTCTCACGTAGCAGCCTTAAAAATTATATTCATGACAACGCTATGCGAAAGTGGAATCAGTAAAAGTAGTTGAGCAGTAAAACTGGTAGAACAACACGACTTTATTTTCCTAGTGTTGAATGTAGGTTCTCATCACTACTTAGCGATTTAACGTTTGCTACTGCTCAACTACTTACTGAGCATGGTAATTTTACAAGCTACCTGAAGATGTATAACCGGGCAGAAACTGCTTCTTGCTTTTGCTGTACAGAAAACCTAGACACCGTCGACCACGTGATCTATCATTGTCCAATTTACAATCAACATACTTTATTCTGAAATTAGAAATCTTTACACTTGGTTTCAAGTGGCCACGTCCACTCGATAAGCTTATTCAGAAGCCACTGTTTGATGCTTTTTACAATTATGTTCAAAAAATATGGAAAAAAGACTATTTATAATTTCTAATTTCTAGTTTTACATTTTAGTTTTCACTAAAAGCCGAATACTAATTTTATGTTTATTTTGTATCGTGTATTTTGGTTTATGTATTCTTAGTGTTAAACATCCATAGTAGTGGTGCACTTATTATAATAAAAAACAAAAAAAAAACCACCACACGGACTTTCTCCCATGATAAAAAATGTGTAGAGCGTGAATCTGCTAGCGTTATTACTCTATCACGTCACACGAGAAAACGAGCGTTCTTAATTAATTAATAGAAACCGCCAAATTGAAACCAAATTCAAAACGCCACCACTCAACGAGATCAAAAAATAAAAATAAGAATATTACGTAAGACGAGATCTATTACCCCCTACCCCTGAGTAAGAAATCGTAAGAAATCCTTTACCCCCAACCACCCCAAAATACCTTACGTAATTTATGGACGGCCCCTAACCTGAAAGCTGTAATGATAGTCTACCGAACTTATTGTCGGATTAAAGAGACATACATACATAGAACAAGTGTAGTTTTACAATACCTCATTTGGACTTGTAAGAGGATGGATGATAAAGTACTCCTTAGTTGTTTGTCTCAAACCATTACTTGAACGTCCGCTTTGAATCTGGGCGTTATCATGAAGAAAAATGATTTTTTGCCGTCTCTTGTCATATAGCATGAAAAACGTTTTTGGTCCAGTATTTTATAATCAATGAGCATTGTGTTTTTGTATGTTTCAGTAAATCTTGAATCACTCGTTATCTCAGGAGGCCTTTCTTATGATTACTCGTGTTCTTATTCCAAGCTTCCAAGCTATATGATCTACCTTTTGACAAGCAAAAACATGATGATACTTGTGCTAATAAAAGCGGTTATGAATTTCGGATACGAAGATATTATTTTCTTTATAAGAAATTCTCTAACTGCACAGTGACGAAATAAAGCATTTTTCCGGTAATATCTTATGATCTCTTCCAAGAGTAGCAAAGCCCAACGTACTTAAAAACATTACCAAAATGAGAAGTAAAAAATATTTAAAGATATTAAGATATTCCCGTGCGTTTCGCGTTAATTCGAGGCGATCATTCATAGCTATAAAAATAACGAATTAATTCCTAATAAATAATTACATTTTATGTAATTATGTAGTTGAAAAAACAAAATTAATTTTTTAAAGTGATTAAAATGTCCATTATAAAGAATCGTGCTTTTTCGCGGTATGACGTTTTTCTTTCAGTTTCGGTTTTTCATATAATAAAGTAATTTTATAAATAAAATATAATGAATAAAGATGTTTTTCCCAAACAGCAGCGTGTGCCCAGCGTTGCACAGGCTTTTGCAGGTATGAGAGATTATCAGGTTGGGTTGGAAGAGAATAATAAAAACAATAGTCTTAGTAACAAAAATGTCTATGCATGGACTCGAATATTTACAATAATGAAACTGCGAAATACGAAAAGTTATTCGGGCTTAAGTTATCATTAAGTGGTTACTGGTGATGACCACTAAAGAAAACATATCAATATATTTAGGGGTAAGTAACCATGAACACAACACGAAACCCGAATAGTGGCTTATGATTTCTTTTGAGAGTTTAGTCAGTCCTCACAAAAAGTATTACTCTCTGAATCTCTGACAGCCTGTTTCATAGTCTATTGGAGTTAAATGTCGACTCATGCTCATGAGCACACTCAGTGGCATAAAGAACGGCTTGCCGTTCTCTCAGGGAACTAAACCTAGCGTGTCTTGAAAACTGATTCTCAGAGCCCTTAACTGTTTATTTTTCCTTGAAGATTGGCCAAGGTTTCATTATTTTGGAATAGGCATGCAACTATATAAATAAAACTTATAAGAATGAAGTTAAGACTGACAAACACAACATGAAACACTTCGAAAAATCGGCCATTCATATATAATATAATATATTACAGCGACGGCGATTTTTCTAACTTCTCTAATGTTTTGCTAATTTCCCACTAATTATTTATTACTTTAACACATACAACTAGAATTCTTTCAAGACAATTGATTTATTCTTTTGATAAATAATGCCTATAACAATAAATTAAAATACAAATGACAAAAATATTAATAGAATTGACAAATATATATCCTCAAATATAATTAAAATTACAAATTATAAATAACGCTTTACAATTGTGTTAACATGTAAAAAATCTATACGTAAAGATTGATTAACAAAGCCCATATTCTGAATAAACCGACAGAAAAAAGTTTTTCAAAGAAATGGCTAACCGGAAGGACAAGGTAAAAAAGCAAGTTTCGTTTCGAGTAACACGTAATGCTAAAGCTCTGGTCACATTACAGTCGACCCCCCTATAACACGGTAAATACGTTCCGTTCTTTATGAATCGATTTCTTACGAATCCTTGCCAATCACAGCCCGACACGTGTGAAGTTTACGGACTACAGCTGTTTGAAAGGTTTTCTTCCATAAAATTAATCTATTCTAGACTAATTCGCCTCAACATTTCAAAAATACGTATATTTTTTTTTGGGAATAATCCGTATAAACTACGCCATAAACAAAAAATTGTAGGATTACTTACCGAGTGTGCACCATTCGACATCGCCATTGCTAAAGCTTGTTTTCGTCGCGGAACAGCTCAGCAAACAGCGGCCGATTTCTAATAACTTATTTTTCTGCGAAAACTTCGTTGAACTTTGGAGACATCATTAATATAAATAATTTTTATCGCCGTTGAATAAGAAATGTTTCTTTCACAAGAAATGTATAAAATTACAGTACTGTATTAGACTTACGGTACCTAATTTACATACTGTACAGACGATAGTTCGCCTAAACTCTCCGTAGCGTGGCGCTAGACGGCGGAGAGCATATATACATAATTATAATAAAGTTACAATAAATTAAGTTAATATATAATTATATATACAGTACCTAATTTATATATAATTAATATATAATTATATGTACAGTACCTAATTTATATATAATTTATATATAATACTGTTCAGACGATAGTAAACTCAATTTACCCGCCTAAATTCTCCGTAGCTTGGCGCTGGACGGCGGAAAGTAGTTCGGCTGCCCGATGACGTTTTACCGAATTATAGGAGTTCTTTTACCAGGTTTGTACGGATACCGTCGCAATTTTTTCGCCGTCTTATAGGAATCGTAATTATAGAAACCCGTGTTATAGGGGGTCTTCTGTATACGATTTGTAGCCGCGCAGGCGACAGCAACTGCAACAAGCGCGAGTCGCGCGTCTTTTCGTGGTCACACATTGTTCGTTGACGTTGGAACTCAGAAACACGTGACCGTGTAATAAACCAATAAAATTACAGTATCTTGTTTTTGACTACTGTCGTGAGTTTGTCGACATGCTACGTTCTACTTCAGAGTATTTACGGAATTTTAGCCACATTTCTTATTAAAATAGCAAACAGTTCTTTTTCTGGAATAAATAAAACAAAAAAGGCGATTATTTTGATAGAGCTGGCGAGAATACACGAAAAGATGTGATCTTCGATAACACTAAGAATTAAACTCCCAAGGTATTCGTGAGCCTGAATAAGCTCGATCAATCTCGATTCTGTAAAAGTATTAATCCTCTAACTATCCACCATGGTCATGAACTATTTTCAATGTTGTCACTGTATGACGTGGCACAAAGGCGTTTGTTGATTGGATGCGCGTTTGCAATTGTAGCGAATAAAGCAAACTTTTTGTTTCTAGTTGCGGTTGCAGTCATGCCGGTTTTCGAGGGAGATTACAAGTTAACGGGAACAACCGTCGCGGTGGCAGTCGCCTGCGCGGCTGGAAATCGAATAGCGTGACCAGGGCTTAAGGTACAGCCAATCAGAAAGCCCGAGAGAGGGGACGTTGATAATTCAGCTCCTGAACGTCGCCCAGATCTCCGCGAACGATCAAAGTATTGAACATCATCAGAAAAACTGGAATTTCCAATCTCGACCTAGCTACATTAGCATTAGGAAAAAACGAAGGTTAGCTAGTTTATTTAAAATAAGGTATAATTTATCTAATTCTTTTAATATTTTTGTAAATGTGACGCGGCAGCCATATCTTTACTGAAAGACAATAATCGAGTAAAGAATGAATATTATTGAAATAAATAGATTGTAATAATACTTATGAGGAAATAATTTAGCAAAAGAGCCAAAGAATTCCGCCACGAATATGTAGAAATTTAACGATTTTATCAACATGACTTTTGAATGTAGGTTTAGGATTTACATTAAATTACTTTTTAATGTTGGTACTCGAAAAAAAATACAATACGTCAATAGTACAAGTTTCTTATATATACTCGCTTGACTGGCAGCTGTTGATTTGTGTCGCAATGTAGCAAATAGAGAGAAAAACAGACAGACAATTCGGTTACAGTTTCATTTACATAATGTAGATATGAATATGACATCATATGTACGTTTAAATATTCTTATACATCGACAGATTCAAATTATGATGTTGTGTTATAATATACTCCGCATTTTCCCGTGATGGGTAACAAACATTCGAACTTAAACTGACAGACTGATCATTACAGTTTCATTTATATACATATAATAATTAAATACGTTTAAGTTAATTCTTAATCACATTTATTACTGATGAAAATGAATTTCAATTTTCTATCACATGGTGATCGAAAATTGTCAAAGTACAAACTGTATGCCAAAAACCCTACTGAAGATGCCAAATATTGTTGGTGAAATACATTTAAGGGATTTATCAATGTAATAAAAGTGTTTTTCTTTGCAAAGTTGTTTCCTTTTACCTTTTTTAACTATAATTTTTATTTCATTGTTTTAGAATTTTGAAGTTATATATACTTCGTAAATCAGAAAGGAAAAAAATACTGATTGTCATGTATTTTTCTACAATACAATTAAGAATTGGATAATTAATCTGACTTCATTGTTTCAAATAGTTATTTTGAATATAAATATATTTTTCTAGGGAATTAATCACAAAAGAAAATAAGTCAAAAGTAAAAAGCTACACAAATCTCATTAATAATATATATGAAACATGTTAACGTTATTCAAATGCGATAATTGGTACTACTGTATATATTAATCAACTAGCTGTTACCCGCGACTTCGTCCGCAGAGGTTTTGCAAGCAAACCCCATTTACATTCAATATTTCAATAACCATAGTAATTGTTAGGTCTATATAACACCTACCGCTGAAGAGAATTGCCGAGAATCAAACGAACCATTTTCAATTTGATCAATTTTCTGGAGCATTTACAATCGTTCTATAATCGAACCAATATGCAATAACAAATTCGAATTTAAAACGGTTCGAACATTTTTAAAATTGAAATAGATAAAAATATTTATAACAATGTCTGAAATGTTATTAATTTAATACACCTAAGTACTCGATGAAAACTAAA